CACTAACGGGCTATTCATGCCCGTGCCACCTTTTGGGTGGCTTCATCTTCATCTTAACACATTCACACGGGAGACATCTTCCGTCACGCAGGGTGCATTCGCACCTCCACAGATCTCCAGTATCAGCTCTTGATACTGGTAATGGCTCAAAAAGGCCACCACTTACGGGCTATTCATGCCCGTGCCACCTTTTGGGTGGCTTAATCTTCATCTAGGGGAGCCGGTCGGCCGAGCGGACAGCACGCTGGACTTGTGATCCTGTGGTCCCTGGGTCGATCCCAGGCGCCGGCGAGAAACAATGGGCAGAGTTTCTTTCACCCTATGCCCCTGTTACCTAGCAGTAAAATAGGTACCTGGGTGTTAGTCAGCTGTCATGGGCTGCTTCCTGGGGGTGGAGGCCTGGTCGAGGACCGGGCCGCGGGGACACTAAAGCCCCGAAATCATCTCAAGATATAGCCTCAAGATATCAATCAATCAGGGTTGTTGGTTTGTGGAACAGCTTACTGGGTAACATGGTCGACGTGGGACCACCCTCCAGGGGGCGGAGGGGGGGGACTGTTTCAAGCGTAGGTTGGACATGTGTGTGTATATATATAATATATGAGTTTAGATGGATGTAAATACCCGCTTAGTTTGGTTCGATAACCACACAAAGAATCATTATAAGCACAACAATAACAAATACAACAATCACTACAAGAACAACCAAGCCACGAAAGCACCAAAAAAACATTTATATAATTCATGTACGGAGCTCGACCAGCCAGACTGTTGGTGTGTGCACGTGCCGCCAGCTGGGGGGGGGGGAGAGGGAGGGGGGGGGAGACAAAGACTATGGCGACATGCTCAAGAAAAGACACCCTAGAGTGGCCTGACTCAACCTGTCGTGCCGGTTGGGGAAGGTGGTGGTAGCCGGTGGTGAGTCACCATTAAGCAGCTGGAAGGAGAGAGGGTTTAGGGGGCCGGATGGGAGTTAAGGGGAAGGGATAGGGGGAGGTTAATGGAGACCGGGTGGGTGGGAATGGGAAAGGGGAGTTAAGGGGGGTTAAGGGGGTAGACGGAGAGTGAGCGAACAAGACATAAAAGGGAGGACACTAACAGTCGGGGTTAATATCACGGGAGAAGGTCAATAGAAGGCTTGGGAGGTCAATAGAAGGCTTGGGAGGTCAATACTGGGGAAGATGGAGTCAACTAGAAGAATGTGGACGAATAGGTGGAGACGGGATATACAGGAGGTGAAGGGGTGACAGAGGAAAATAGGGGGGTTTGGAGGGCGGGTAATTGGGGGTATGGGACGAGTGAGGGCGAGAAATGAGAGGTGCAAGTAAAGAATATATTGGAAATAGGAGAAGTAGAGTAAATTTAACATTTATGGTGTCTAGTTCTTACAAGAAGTGCCGGACCAACCAGGCTGTGGTGGATATGGAGACTCACACTTTAGACGCCATGGAAATAACCCGATCTCTTAACAAAATCGTCGCATTTTGTACGAAATCTATCAATCCGTTAACAAAATTCAACGTATTAGACACAATTAAAGCACCGTCATATTAACGTTTTCTATAAATCGGATTCGACAGGTTAGGTGGGTTGCTTTTGTTTGTGCGTTTCCAGTTAGGCAAAAAGAGCTGCAATTTTTACGGATGGGGTAAATTGAGTGAAGAGGCTGATGGATCAGCCCAGGACAGGCCGGAACCTGGTCACTTCTCTCACGTGTGAGCGTGGGTTAGTTGTTAGTGAGCCTGCGACACGTTGTTAGTGACCCTGCGACACGTTGTTAGTGACCCTGCGACATGTTAGTAGTTAGTGAGCCTGCGATAGCTCCTCACAGCTCTACATCGTCGCCACCATTTAGGGCCGGAGAAAGCCCTAAAGAATTGCGCAGATTAATTTACAACCAGTAAAATCCGTTCAGTAAAACATCTATATTATTGAGAACACTTACAATCATTAGAAGCATTAAATGGCTGACTTCTCAGGTGCTCAAATGAGAAGTTGATAAACACTTCCAAAGGATACCTGATAACCTAGAGCTGTGATTCATACGTGAGACTGCGAGCAGCTGCGTCTAACAGCTTTGGGCTGATGGCTAACCAGACCAGCAACCAAGCCTGGTCAGAGACCGGGCACCGGGACATTGATCCACGGCAGCACTTGGGGAGGTGCAGCAGGTAGTGGCGTGCAGTTAGTTCCCTAATGATGGCTCTTGGGGTCAACGCCCCCTACCACACTACTTGTATCTGCCCCCCTTTGTCTTCTTCCTGGCCACCAAGTCTCTATATACTACACTGATTACTACAGTTTGAAGTGCTATGAGGTGCTCCTCCACGCGAGGTACTCCTCCATCCGAGGTGCTCCTCCACCCGAGGTGCTCCTCCACCCGAGGTGCTCCTCCTCGCGAGGTGCTCCTCCATCCGAGGTGCTCCTCCACCCGAGGTGCTCCTCCACGCGAGGTACTCCTCCATCCGAGGTGCTCCTCCACCCGAGGTGCTCCTCCTCGCGAGGTGCTCCTCCACGCGAGGTGCTCCTCCACCCGAGGTGCTCCTCCACCCGAGGTGCTCCTCCACCCAAGGTGCTCCTCCACCCGAGGTGCTCCTCCACCCGAGGTGCTCCTCCACCCGAGGTGCTCCTCCACCCGAGGTGCTCCTCCACCCGAGGTTATGATGATGAACAACTTATAGCACATCGGAGCTCGTAATAGGTTTAGTCCACACGAGCATAAACCTCGACAAATCCATAATTATATACACGATCATATGCCGCCATGATCGAAGAGGTGGGTGTGGCTAGGTGTAGCTGCGTGTACCGTGGGTGTGGCCAGGTATAGCTGCGTGTACCGTGGGTGTGACAGCGTGTACTGTGGGTGTGGCCAGGTGTAGCAGCGTGTACCGTGGGTGTGGCCATGTGTGGCAGCGTGTACTGTGGGTGTGGCCAGGTGTAGCTGCGTGTACCGTGGGTGTGGCCAGGTGTAGCTGCGTGTACCGTGGGTGTGGCCAGGTGTGGCAGCGTGTACTGTGGGTGTGGCCAGGTGTGGCAGCGTGTACTGTGGGTGTGGCCAGGTGTAGCTGCTGGTACCGTGGGTGTGGCCAGGTGTAGGTATAACTTTGTTATGTGTGTATTAAAGACGATTCAATAATGTTTACACACAAAATGTCTCGGTGTGAACTCTCTGGCAAATGAATAAATAGAGCCTTAGATAAGTGGCCATTTTTTTATATAGAATATTTATACTGCGAAATTCGAAATGATAAAATTTGGATGTTTGACATATATATAGAACATGTTAAAATCTTGACAAGGTATTTTTGTATATGGCACAGGTATTGATTCCATATATGTCAAACATACAAAGATTTAACATTTCTAATTTTGCAGCATAAATATTATGTATAAATTGACCAATTATCTAACGCTTTATGTATTCATTTGTCAGAAAATTTTCGTCAAATTAATTGCGAGAAAACTTCTAAAAATAAGATTGTAAAATCATTTTTTAACAGAAATATTATGGAATCTCCTTTAATACAAATTACAAAGCCATGTAACATGAATGTGTTTTGTACAATTTGGATACATTTTTAATTGACCAGATATCAAGCAGGTATTGTTTTTCACCTCACGAAAAACATGAGGAAGTGCCCTTTTTTGTTTTATTGCCTATATTTATTCCTTCTCTGAATTGCATTGTTTATACCTCTCATAATGTGCTGATTAACACGAAAGAGCTTTAGTATTTTATTTATTTGTTTATTTCGTAGTTAAAATTGTCATTATATATATATATATATATATATATATATATATATATATATATATATATATATATATATATATATGTTTCATTGAATATGACCGCATATTCTGTATTTATTATTTTCTGGTTTAGGGCTTCTATCCCTCTAACTATTTTCTTAGCATCAGGGCTTAATTGGAATAGGAGTTCTCCAAAACTCATTTTCGTACTTTTAAGGTGAAGAAAAGAAGTGATTTACTATAGAGTGTATTACACTTATTTGTATAATTTGCACGACGTTTCGAACCTCCATGGTTCATTCTCAAGTGAACAGATCTTACAATACTAGTTGATTTTATACCCGCATTAGGTCAGGTGATAATACAATGAAGGTGAAAAACATGGGGGGATACATAAGGGATAAACATAGGGGCTGCAGAAGGCTTATTGGCCCATACGAGGCATCTCCTATCTAAACACAAAGATTAATCCAGTGTAATTAATCCAGTGCCAATTACACTGGATTAATCTTTGTGTTTAGATAGGAGATGCCTCGTATGGGCCAATAAGCCTTCTGCAGCCCCTATGTTTATCCCTTATGTATCCCCCCATGTTTTTCACCTTCATTGTATTATCACCTGACCTAATGCGGGTATAAAATCAACTAGTATTGTAAGATCTGTTCACTTGAGAATGAACCATGGAGGTTCGAAACGTCGTGCAAATTATACAAATAAGTGTAATACACTCTATAGTAAATCACTTCTTTTCTTCACCTTAAAAGTACGAAAATGAGTTTTGGAGAACTCCTATTCCAATTAAGCCCTGATGCTAAGAAAATAGTTAGAGGGATAGAAGCCCTAAACCAGAAAATAATAAATACAGAATATGCGGTCATATTCAATGAAACATGTTTGAAAGAAAACCTGCTGCCAGTATACACCAATATATATATATATATATATATATATATATATATATATATATATATATATATATATATATATATATATATATATATATAAATAAATATCATAAATGCAATATGAGATTGTTAGCATTATTAATATCTGACTTTGGTGTTTATATTACATTTTTGGGATTATTGTTATATATTTGAGCCAAAAAATGGCTCTCAAGCACAATCTTCACTACACTACCACCTCCCTTCCACCACACCCCCTACCCCCCTCCCCCCCCCCCCGTCCACCCCCCTACCAAGCCCCTGGTGTGGTTCACCACTAACGCAGCCTCTGCCTCTCCCCAGCGTGAGCAGCTGAGCTTCGAGGTCAACACCGAGGGCCTCCCGCCAGACACCGCCGCCCTCCTCGACCAGATCAAACAGGTAGGTCTCCAGACGTCTTCTCACCTCTCTGTCTCCCTCACACTCGACAACATGTTGTCAAAACACATTTTGGATACTTGGCTAAGATTCCTGGTAGTATATCATTATGAATGAAGCACTTACACATTTCTTGGACTTGGTGTAGCGACCTCACGACTAGAAATAGCCCTCGTGTTTGTGAACCACTAAGACCAGTTTGTGTTCGAAACGTCTCGTGGGCTCACTCGGCTACCCGAAACCTTTATCGCATTTACATTTAAAACTGTTGAATTACTTCCAAGCAGAACGTATCTATTGTATTTAGGCCAGTTTACAACTCTTAGTTGTAAGAACCTTACAGAACACTTGAGGAAGTGTTAAGTCTGCAGACACAAACAGTGCTCTCTTCTGGCATGTTAAGGCCTAACCAACAAGCCTGGCCTCGGGCCGGGCTTGTTGGTTACAAATTTGAATTGTTGCCGCCAGAGGCGGCTAGTTTATTGTGCACCCCATACTCATCCTGCGAGCGGTAGCGCAAACATCATTACAGAGGGCACAAAAGGTCTTTATCAGACCTCAACGGAGATTATTACATAAACAATTTCATCTATCCTTCACACGTTATAATTACAATGTCAGCTAGTTATAGAGAATGTTCTATTTCAAGAGCTATATATTAACAGTAAGTCAATATACATACATGGTAGGTCTTATAGCTAATACATAATTACAAGAACTCCCAGAACCCCATCAAGCAGGTACCAAGCAAGCAGGCATCCTAGAGATTGGTCTTCTTCTAAAATAATGTTTCCTGCCTTTACTCTTCACAGACGCCGTCTTGTCGAATCGGCTGTGATACACAACCTTCTCAACATGAACCTGAGTCCTGGCTTTGTTGCTGTTGACTCTTCCCCTTCACAGTACATACTTAAATGATCCAACCTTTTTAATAAACGTGACCTGACTTAAGTCTACCTCCTTTCTCTTATCTTCTTCTCTTACCCCCTTTTATTTTTCTTACCTCCTTTTATTTTTCTTACCTCCTTTTATTTTTCTTACCCCCTTTTATTTTTCTTACCTTTCCTCGTACATTTCTCTTACCTTCATCCTACTTTCATCTTTCACCTTACTCACTTTCTTCTCTTTCCTGCTCCTCACCTCACTCTCTTTCGTTATTTATTTGCTTCCTCTTTTATCACACTTACGGGGTGATAAAATTCATGCCAATCACGATTGCTTCAAACCACTTGGAACGGAGACGAAATATGTTTCATAGTATTTTCATAGTGGGATTTTTTTTCCAATTTCACATTTTTTCTTAATTGGGAAAAAATTTTGTGTTTCTGTTGGAAGCCAACAGGAAAGTTGGGTTGCAAATCTGTGCACAACAAACATAACAGTCTGCGGTGAAAGTTATGGCGGGAAATATAATATAAATCCGAGGACATTTATGGGCCTCCAGGAGCACTATTAGAGATCATCACAAGTCCTCGACTTTTCAAACTTGTAATGGCTAATATAAGATATGTCGCCGGAACAAAGGTGGAAGCTTTCAAGAGGGAACCTAATAAGCTTTTGGTGGAATTACTAATTCAGCCTGGCTGTGATGGCTGTGTAGGTCTGTAGGCTGCGGAGACCACCAGGGGTGCTGAGCAAGCAATCACCAGGGGTGCTTACTCCCAGGGCAGGCTACGGCAGTATATTAGACACCCTGCACTGTTCCAGTGACATTACGGGCTCACCATAGCCCGTGCTACATGGACATTTCGTTGTGAGTAGCTAAATCTAAAACAACAACAACAACAACATTTCATTGTCTTTCTGTTCTATTATTACATCGAGGCGCCAATGGAGATATTTATGTATCAGTTATTTCATATATATATTCCTTATATATAGCAGCATCAACGGGAACAACCGTGGATATCTTCAAGAGAAAACTAGATAGTTTTCTCCAAGGAGTGCCGGACCAACCAGACTGTGGTGGGTATGTGGGCCTGCGGGCCACTCCAAGCAACAGCCTGTTGGACCAAGCTCCCACAAGTCAAGCCTGGCCTCGGGCCGGGCTTGGGGAGTAGAACAACTCCCAGAACCCCATCAAGCAGGTAACCGTAACATCAGTCGAAATAGCAGGAGGAGGAGGGGCGGGTCCGCCGCTTGGGGAAGCAGACGTCCGGCAACACAGTTAATTTTTCACATACTAAGGGAGACCACGTGGCGTCCAAGACCCTATGTGGCTCGCTCTCTTCTTTGGTGTTGTCGTGTATTCCTACCAGCGCCAGGTACATATATGGAGGAATGCTGTGTGTGATATGTGCACAGTATGTATATATGTACTTATAAGTACATACATATTTCACCAGCATATATGACATCAAATGAGACTTCAACCTTGTCTTGAAGGTTAAGAAATAGTTTAAAAATGTATATTAAAATAAGTACAGGGTGGAGGTCAGGGCCAGGCTGTGAAGTCAGGAACATGCTGTGGGGTCAAGGTTGGACTGTGGGGTCAAGGTCTACAAGGCTGTGAGGTCAGGTTCAGAGGTCAGGCTGTGAGATTAATCTCACGAATTATCAGCTTGATAGTTAATATTTCACGATTTTAGTTAGTAGTACAGATTTGTATACACATGGGTGACATGATTCCGACATTAAAGATTCCAAGAAGCAATGCCAAAGTGATCAGAACCGGAATACTTAGCATGCTGGACGGAAGGACAAGGGTAGAAACCGGAACCTCAGATAGGATCATACCTGGAACATACCTGGAGAGGGTTCTGCGAGTTCTTCTACTCCCCGAGCCCGGCCTGAGGCCAGACTCAACTTGTGATAACTTGAACAAATCCACAAGGGCCGTGACGAAGATTCGAACCTACGTCCGAGAGATTCCCAGACGCTGCCTTAATCGACTGAGCTACGACATGGTATAAGAATTGCAACCAGAAATTCTACTGAATTTTTACTGTTGTGATAACTTGGTCCAACAGGCTGTTGCTTGGAGCGGCCCACAGGCCCACATATTCACCAAAGCCTGGTTGGTCCGGCACTTATTGCAAAGACTTATCTAATTGCTTCTTGAAGACAGCCACCTTTGCCCCAGCAATATTTGCAATACTTGCTGGGAGTCGTTGGGGAGAGGTAGAGGCAGGAGGGAGGTGAGGTATACAGGGTACAGCAGAAGTTGTATAAACTATACAACTTCATGTATAGTTGCATGTGTAGGTGTGAGAAGCAAGCCGATCGAGACTCGTTGGAACAGGCAGTCGGAAATGAGGGGCCCAGTAGGTGAAGACTTGCTAGGTAAGAACGAACACACACACACACACACAAACACACACACACACACACACACACACACACACACACACACACACACACACACACACACACACACACACACACACACCCTAGTATGGGTGAAGAACTACCTAACAGGAAGGAGCCAGAGGGTAATGGTAAGGGGCGAAAAGTCGGACTGGCGAACAGTAACAAGTGGAGTACCTCAAGGATCGGTGCTGGGACCAATCCTCTTTCTAATTTACGTAAATGATATGTTTACAGGAGTGGAATCATACATGTCAATGTTTGCAGATGACGCAAAATTAATGAGAAGAGTTGTGACAGACGAGGATTGTAGGATCCTCCAAGAGGACTTAAACAGGCTGCAGAGATGGTCAGGGAAATGGCTACTGGAGTTTAACACCAGTAAATGTAAAGTTATGGAAATGGGATCAGGTGACAGGAGACCAAAGGGACAGTACACAATGAGGGGGAACAGCCTACCTGTAACGATTCGAGAAAGAGACCTGGGAGTGGATGTGACACCTAATCTAACTCCTGAGGCACATATAAATAGGATAACGACAGCAGCGTACTCTACACTGGCGAAAATTAGAACTTCATTCAGAAACCTAAATGAGGAAGCTTTTAGGGCGCTTTACACTGCCTACGTGAGACCCGTCTTAGAGTATGCCGCGCCATCATGGAGCCCCCACCTGAAGAAACACATAAAGAAACTGGAGAAGGTTCAGAGGTTTGCGACGAGGCTTGTCCCAGAGCTACGAGGGATGGGATATGAAGAGCGGCTGAAGGAACTGAACCTTACGACACTAGAGAAAAGAAGGGAGAGAGGAGATATGATAGGGACATATAAAATACTCAGGGGAATTGACAAAGTGGAAATAGATGAAATGTTCACACGTAATAATAACAGAACGAGGGGACATGGGTGGAAACTGGAAACTCAGATGAGTCACAGAGATGTTAGGAAGTTTTCTTTTAGCGTGAGAGTAGTAGAAAAATGGAATGCACTTGGGGAACAGGTTGTGGAAGCAAATACTATTCCTACTTTTAAAACTAGGTATGATAGGGAAATGGGACAGGAGTCATTGCTGTAAACAACCGATAGCTAGAAAGGCGGGATCCAAGAGTCAATGCTCGATCCTGCAAGCACATATAGGTGAGTACATATAGATGAGTACACACACACACCATTTAAATAACCTGTTTTTCATTTGTTTTTATATTACAATTTATATTGTTCCAGTTGATATATTGTAGCAACCAATATCTGTTGATGACTTACTGTAGGTGACTATTTGTCCACTGAACACTAATTGTAGATTTGTAGATAAGCAGAGATGTGTTGACCACTAAGATGGGACGTACGTCTTACAGGTAGCGGAGGATGTGCTCTACCACTGGAAGACCTTCCCGCTCCACCTGCCTCCACCTGTCGCAGTCCACCACGACCCGACCTCCACCACCTCTTCAGGTACGTCCTCTCCTCCTCCCCCCGATGCTCAAGTCATTCACAAGACGATTCGTGAAAGCTTGTAGTCTTTCAGGCAAACCGCATGTATTGTAGAATGATGTATTTGGTTAAATGAACAAATCCACAAGGGCCGTGATGAGGGTTAGGCTGGGTTAGGTGAAGTTAGTTTGGGTTAGAATAGGTTTGTTGGGGGTAAGGGGTTGGGCTATTTGGTGCTATGAGTCTGAAGATTAGGTTTGAAGTTTGTGTTAAAGGGGGAGGGGAGAGGGAGTTAAGAAAATGTTTTAAGTGATATATATACTGGGGCGAGAGAGCTGGGATGCCACCCTTGACTCTCCTAATGACGGTCTTTACATGTCTTAAGATGTTTTTAAGTCTCTAAAATCTATAAGAGAGAGAGCTTAATATTTACAGTATAAACATATGTATAAAGAAGAATAAACATACATAGAAGATTGTATGTTTTGTGTCCAAGGCTGGACGGCAGACGCTTGCTGATATATGGACAGCCTTGTATATCAGGGTTCGAGGCCAGACGGGGAAGAAGGAGGGGGGGGGGGGGGCAGAGAAAAAGGGGGAACAAGGGGAGGGTGGCTAGAAGGGAGGGGGGGGGAGAATTTGGGAGACGAGAGGGAAGTGGGAGAGGCAGGAGAGACAGGGTTGCTCCGTAGCTCTTCTGTCTTCCAGTGTCGTGAGGTGCATCTCACGCAGCCTTTCCTCGTAACTCGTGCCTCTTAGTTCTGGGACTAGTCTAGTGGCATATCTCTGAACTTTTTGCAGCTTTGTCTTGTGCTTGACAAGGTACGGGCGTCATGCTAGGGCCGCATACTCCAGGATTGGTCTTACATATGCTGTGTACAAGGTTCTGAAGGATTCCTTACACAGGTTCCTGAAGGCTGTTCTGATGTTAGCCAGCCATGCATAACCCAGTGATGTAATTCTTTTGATGTGGGCTTCAGGAGACAGGTTTGGTGTGATTTCAACTCCTAGATCTTTCTCTCAGTCCGTTTAATGAAGGACTTCATTTATCCTGTATCTGGCCTCTTGTTTCCACCGCCTAGTTTCATCTCCTTACATTTACTTGGGTTGAACTTTAGTAGCCATTTGTTGGACCATTCATTCAGTCTGTCTAGGTCATCTTGTGTGTGTGGATGTGCGTGCGCGCGCGCCTCTATTTCTCAGTGTCAAGAAGTACACTCTTGCAAAATGTTTTCTCCACCGTAAACTACAACTTTCACACTCTGTAGCTCCTGGCTGGCGGCGCTCTCTCTGTCTCTGTCTTTCTGTGTCTGTCTCTTTCTCTCCCTCTCTTTTATATAATATATAAATATATATATATATACCTTGGGGGCCCATTCAAGTCTTGTCATATATATATAGAGCTAAAAAGTTATAAATAGCTATATAACTTGGCTAAAAGTAAGATACGCGCCGGGAAAAAAGGTAGACAAATGAGGGGGTGGAAGATACGGAGGAGGTGAGAATGGACCTACAACAAACTAAGGGAAATGAATAGGTTGTGGATGTAACTAGATGAATAGAAGAGGTGGAGAGATCAGAAGAGATGAACCAGTTAATGATGGGATAGACAAAACCTTCACAGCAGTGGTTAGAGGTACAGTGAGAAGGAAACTGAAATACAGGCAGGCGTGCGGGCTTCGGGCTTCAAGCGTGCAGGCTAAGAGCTTGTTGGCTTCCAGCGCGCGGGCTTCCAGTTCCAGGCACGGTCTTTTGCCGTGGAAATGAATAGGAGAAAAGAGTTTTCCTAAACTCCATCACAAATAAATTTGACTTCATACTTCTCTTGCAGGAAACTTCGGCGTAGTTGGCGTAGGAAATGGAGGCGCCGGGTTGGGCACCGGCGGCAGCAGCGCCGCAGGCGGCGGAGGGCGCGCCAAGCCGCTGGCGCTGCGAGAGGTGTTCGTGGTGCCATCCTTCGACGAGCTCGACGCCGTCGCCGTCGACTCCAAGGGCGACCCCCGACGACTCTCCAACCACCACCTCCACTCCATTCGCGAGAAGGGGTGAGTAGTCAGGCACGAGGGAGAGGTGCAGGGAGGGAGGGAGAGGTAAAGGCAGGGAGGGAGAGGTACAGGAAGGGAGGGAGAGGTACAGGCAGGGAGGGAGAGGTACAGGCAGGGAGGGAGAGGTACAGGCAGGGAGGGAGAGGTGCAGGCAGGGAGGGAGAGGTACAGGCAGGGAGGGAGAGGTACAGGCAGGGAGGGAGAGGTACAGGCACGAGGGAGAGGTACAGGCAGGGAGGGAGAGGTGCAGGCAGGGAGGGAGAGGTACAGGCAGGGAGGGAGAGGTACAGGCAGGGAGGGAGAGGTACAGGCAGGGAGGGAGAGGTACAGGCAGGGAGGGAGAGGTGCAGGGAGGGAGAGAGAGGTACAGGGAGGCAGGGAGAGGAGCAGATGGACAGTGGAGTGAAGAAGGCGAGTAAGAGGGTAGATATACTATATTTGAGATCGGAAGGATGGAAATCAGCAAGATATAGGAAGGGTCAAGGCTGGAAAGAGGAAGAGAAGTGAAGATAGTAGTGGAATTATAAGGAATATTAGAGAAAGAAGAATAAGATTTGGGAAATAATAATGGAGGAACTACGATAATGAGTCAAGATGTAACGAAAACGAGGGAAGATGAAATATGAGAGTTAGGAGTTTGTGAGTGTATGTGAGGGAGGAAGACTTACCATTAGGTGATGAGGCAGAAGAGATCATGGGACAGAAGGATGGGGTAGGGATATCTCCCCACCCATCACGACCTTCGAGTATAAACGTACTAGATGTATGAGGAAGGCCCAGGTACTTGAGACGTCGGGGATCGAACCCTGACTGTAAGAAGCGCCCACTGTGGTGTTGGGTGTGGCCAGACTTTCATATGCTACCATTTTATTGGATGATTTATATACAAGAAGATACATTGGGTTGAGAGAGTACATAACATTGGGGGTTCTAAAGTTACCAAAGGCTTGGTGCCTTTGGATTAGTACTCAAATACAAAATGATATTGAACTTTAGCTAAAAATGTAGTTTATATACAGCTTATGTATATTTTATACACAGCTTATGTATATTTTATAAAATGGGCATACATATTATACAACTTGTATAATACTTTATATACACCATGATTCAGGCAACATATTAGGATGATGCCTGCTGGGCATTTTGTTATGCTGAGTGAGAGTTTTAAATTCATTGTAAATTACAATATTTATCCATTAAGTTGCAAAATATATGAATATTATATATATTTTGTGGTGTCTCTATAACGTTGCAACTGTGACCTTGAGATTATACATTTAATAAGTGAAACTATTTCATGGTATATCTTATCTAAAACACATTGTGCTGTAATATGTATATTAACCATAAAAATCTATAATAAATATGTAATTGTAGCGCCAAAAATAATGGTAAATGATTATTTATTTGATATAAATCGTACGCATATGCTTATGTATGCTTCTATATAATCCATGACCTAGGCCTGGTAATAAAAATATTGATACGAATGATGATACTAACATTAGGCCTATAATAATATGAAATTAACAATAACTAGGCCTATAATAATAATAATAATAATAATAATTAGTATTGGTAATGTCTTCTCACAGACATTACATAGGATAATATATAGGATATACAGACATATACATATACATGTAGCCATATACATAGGATAAAAACTCACACTTGTGTATATGTGAAATTTATGTAAGGAATTTACACCAAGTCTTTCGCACTCTCCTGAGTGCTTTGTCAAGGTCTGAGTGTGTGGTTAGGACCAGACTTACATCTCAACGTTTAATGAGGCTGTTATCCGTTGTTGTTTTTATGTTCAGCTACTCGGAACAAGAAGTTGGAAGTAGCACGGGCTATGGTGAGCCCGTAGTGGACTTACCTGGCTCAGGAGCGGGGGGGGCTGTATGTGTTCTTCTGGAATATAGAACTAGAACCCTTCTAGTTCTAATATGATTACTTTTATAGATTATTTCACATTTTGTCAAATCAATATTGTGATCCTTTTATCATTGTAATTCAGTGAAGCACCGTGTACTCACCAGTCTTTATCTAAGAGGTTATAGGATTCGTCTTATCTAGAAGCTGAACTTAAATATGTTGAACAAACCTTCACTTTTTTGGGTAAATATGAATTTAAATATGTTGAACTTAAATATATATGAATGAAAAATATGTTGAACTTAAATATATATGAATGAAAAATATGTTGACCAACTTAAATACTTACATAAGAGTTGCGTTTATTTAGGTTACCCCTCGAGAGTTCATTGAAAACGCGCACAGTAAAGCTACATAGAGACGCCCTTGGAATCCTGATAAGAAAATAGTTTAGAAATTGCCCAATGACCCTCTTTTTTAAGTAAACTGACCCTTGACGTAGTGGATACAAGACAATAAAATCGTTTTCAGTTACCCAAAAGCAATTAGGATAAGTGTTAGTAAGAAGAGAGCAGGAGAGGATAGTAATCTAGGAGGCGTTTATGTATTACCTTGTAGAGAGTGTTATGAAGTCTTATGGGGAAAGGGGGATTCAATTTCTGTCTTTATTATGCACCAAATACCCATCCCGTGGGCGGTGGTGGAAAGGGTTACAGAGGCACATAATGGGTTCAGGAACTGAGCCCAATAGTTCGTTTAGCTAAGCAAGTGACAATCTTTTGACGCTAGTTGCACAGTTGTTAATGTTACATACACATGTATATATATACATATACATAAATACAATCATTTATACTAAAACATATACATGTCAATAATCTTTTTATATCACAAGTGATTCCACAAGAGGCTCACAACAGTCCCTATACAAGGCACTTTACATCTATGGTGAGTCACACAGTTACTAGTCTTGCTCCACACCCACCCAACTGGGCGACAGCTTTACAGTCATGTGCAGGCTGCACCTACAGTATGCAAATTTTGGATACTTCGCTAAGATTCCTATCAGTACTTCATTATGACGGAAGTACTTACACATTTCTTGGACACCATTGATGGTGTTATCTCTGAATTCCGCGATTTTTTCACATTCCATTATATAATGACACAAAGTATGCGAATAGTTCTGCTGACAGAGTTTACATTTAGTCAAATCTACATCAGCAGATGTTACAAACTCCCAGAGGTACTTGTAGCCGAGCCTAAGCCTAGCAGTGGTAACATCTAGAAGTCTGCTAACCTTATTGGATGACCCATAGACGTGCGGTACTTCCTGCATAATAGAATGATGATAGATGGCGTAACTGGTGTGATTTTCACTTTGCCTCAAGTCTACGAGATTTTGTTGATGTTCCCGGAATATTACTGCCCTCAGGCTGCTCAAAGGCAGTCCAAGATGGTAATCAATTCCGGGAAACAGATCATACACTCAAGATCAGAATTGAAGAACAAAAGAAAGCATGTACAATTGTCGTTGGTAACAGTGATGTAGCTGACCAGAGTTGGGAAAAGGATTACAATATTGATTTTAAGAAATGTGAAATAATCTATAAAATTAATAATATTAGAACTAGAAGGGGTAGTGGAAGGGGTTCTAAGAAATACTGTGAATACTTTCGCAGGCAACAAAAGCTTTGCTTCGGAGAATAGCTTTACTAGGAAATTGATTCTGAGTGAATTATAATTAGAACTCAATAAGTGGATGAATGAAAGCAGTCCCATTAGCAGATAAGTCACAATAACGTGGCTGAAAAATGTTGACCAAACCACACACTAGAAAGTGAAGAAACGACAACGTTTCGGTCCAGCCTGGACCATTATCCAGGACGGACCGAAACGTCGTCGTCCCTTCACTTTCTAGCGTGTGATTTGGTCAACAGTGCCATTAGCCGCGTTCCTTGGAGGTATGGAGAGGGTTACGAGGGCTAGCATCCAAGTTGTTGAGTGTTGTTTAAGATTCACTACTTGGAACAAAAAGTTCCAAGTAGCACGGGCTATGGTGAGCCCGTAGAGGACTTAACACAGGAGCGGGGCTGTAACTTGCTTTATACCACCCCAGATGAACACCTCTATTATTAATAACAACTCCGGTTGCCAGAATAACAGGAAAGGACACATGACCATATTTCCGTAGAAGACATTTAAGAGGTATATCGCCAGTTGGGAGTATAGGTGACCTGGTCAAGAAGAATAAGAAGACTGGACCCAGGCTAGTGTTACGGGCTCACCATACCCCGTGCTACATGGACATTTCGTTCTGAGTAGCTAAATCTAAAACTAACAACAACAGCAAATAATAGCAGGCAGTTACAGCCCCGCTCCTGTGCCAGGTAAGTCTATTACGGGCTCACCATAGCCCGTGCTGCTTGGAAATTTTGTTCCGAGTAGCTGAATCTAAACCAACAACAACAACGGATAACAGCCTCATTAGACGTTGAGATGTAAGTCTGGTCCTAACCACACACTCAGACCTTGACAAAGCACTCAGGAGAGTGCGAAAGACTTCGTGTAAATTCCTTACATAAATTTCACAATTACACAAGTGTGAGTTTTTATGCTAAAGAATAATAATAGAAGTAATATCAACAATAACTGTGAAGTATGACAATGACTGACGCAGATGACAGGCAAGCAGCTGGACGAAGTGTTTAAGTAAGAAAAATTACCCTAAGTGGCCCATTTGCTGTCACTTAGAAACAGCTGTTATGGTTGTATATATCCGCAAATGGCATTAACAACCCCTAAATAAGAAGCCCCAGCCTGCGAGACGTGAGAGAACAGCCAAGTAACAGTTGCTGGCACTCTCAGGTGCTCAGGTGTTCACTAGAACACCTGAGTTGCCCACAACACCTGTTGAGGTGGTGCGGTGAAGCAGGCTGTGCTCTAGTACATGTATGCTCCAAGGTCACGACATAGTGGGGCGAGATTCACGAAGCAGTTACGCAAGCACTTACGAACCTGTCCATCTTTTCTCAATCTTTGGCGGCTTTGTTTCCAGTTATTAAACAGTTAATGAGCTCCGAAGCACCAGGAGGCTGTTTATAACAATAACAACA